GCTCACCATTAGTTAGAAAGTAGATCCATTACCCAGCAGAGTAGCCCATTCCCAAGTTGTTGTTGTTGTTATGTGCCGTTGAGTCAGACCCGACTCATAGCTACCTCTCCCTGGGTTTCTGAGGTGGTATCACCACGGAAGTAGATTGCCCAACCTTCCTTTTGAGGAGTGGCTGGTGAGTTTGAACCTCCAGCCTTCTGGTTAGCAGTCTAGTGCCTTAGGCACTACACTACCAGAGCTCCCATTCCCGAGGTACAGGACTCTATATAAGTCTTGAAATATTCTTTCTGTGTAGTCCACCTTCTCTATGACTCCCAGCCACAGGTCCACTCCAGTGAACCATCTCCAAACAACCTTGAGTCTTTTCCCACTGCACTCCCAGACTCCCAGTATCCTGGTTAACAACAAACAACAACTCACTGCCATCAAGTCGATTCCGATTCATAGTGACCCCCTTTGGGTCTCCAAAGCAGTGAGTCTTTACGAAAGTAGATTGCCCAGTCTTCGTTCTGCAGAGTGGCTGATGGGTTTGAACTGCCAGCGTTCTGGTTAGCAGTCAAATGCCTTAGGCACTGTGCCACCAGAGCTCCTAGGAAAGCTCAATGTCCTCAGTGCCCCCTCACCTCCCCAAATGAACTGACCTCCTCCAGACAACCCATTTGATATGGAAACTGAAATTTCTTTTCCTGACCTCCTTGCTCTGTGGCCACTTGCCTCCCACTGTGCACTGAGTTTCACATATGAGCAAGGTTGGCATCTGTGCTACCTGCACCCACCCCACTCTGCATTGTCCAGAGTGGATGTTGAAGCCTGTGAAAGAAGCAATGTTGCTGGAGTCTTTGTGCTTCAGATTCTACCTTCAGTAGCAGTTTGGGGTGATCTTCTTCTCCAAAAGGCCCTCTTGATTCCCTAGGTGGACCCTTCTCCCTCTACACTCCCAGAGCACCCTAAGATCCTATAGTGTGTGTGTGGGGGGGAATCATCCCACTGAAACCTACTTCCCATTAGCACTGGGAACTTGCTGAAAGCAGGGACAAGGTCCAGCTTCCTAGGGGTCCCCAGGTCCAATTCCAACACCTCAGCAGGAGCCTGGTTCTTTTCTACGGAACACAGCACCTATGGCAAGCACTGAGAATGCACCCTTGTCCAAACATCTGACATCCATAGTTTAGATAACATTAGCCTAATGTCAGCTCAAAAATACAAGTCAAACTTATTAATCTTTTACGTAACACATTATGGAACTGCAGGAAAATTACAACTGTACCTTCCTTGCTTTCACTGATGAAAACTGGTCTATGATGTGCTCAAAGTCATTTTTTTTTCTCTTTCTACACTCAGGAGAGCAAAATAACACAGTCTACCTTGACCCATGGAGGCTCTCAAATACAAAAACATTTGTTTTAACTTGCTACATGATCTCAAAGCAGGCAATGGAAACTGCGATGGTTAATAGAAACTACTCAGTAGGGCCATCCTTCAAATGTTGCCCAGGGCACATGCCTTACCTGCCATACCTGAGACAAACCTCTGCAGGAAAAGGATGTGAAGGATGGGAGCAGTGACAAAGAGGATAAGGGAAGGAAGGAACGAAAGAAACAGGATGCCCAGGCCCCTGACTGATACATAGAACACCCCGCCTAGGAGGTGAGACACGGAAATGGGTGCCCCCTGCCCTGATGAACGGACAGGTCATAGCTTGGCCAGAGCTCCAGATCTCCTGGAGGGAGCTGGGGGTAGAACAGCTAGGGGTGGGGGGCCAGGCAGGCCCAGGGTGCGGTCGGTCTGGGGCGGGGCCGCAGCCCCAGCGCCAAGAGGAAGCTAGCGCAGTGGTCCTAGGTCCCTGCACAGCTCCGGACGCGCGGACCTCACGCTCCGAGGCTCCCTGCCACTCTCTGCCGCCGCTGCCTTGCCTGTGGCGGTCGTTGCAGCTACCATGCCCTCTTACACAGTCACCGTGGCCACCGGCAGCCAGTGGTTCGCTGGCACCGACGACTACATCTATCTCAGCCTGGTGGGCTCTGTGGGCTGCAGCGAGAAGCACCTGCTTGACAAGCCCTTCTACAATGACTTCGAGCGCGGCGCGGTGAGGCTGGCGGCCAGGACCTGGGCGGGGGGTTGGGAAGACGGAACAGGGGCGCCCAGGGTCCAGTCGGGGAGGCCGAGACCAGAGTTGGGACGCCCACAGATGGGGACCCTGAGGATTTGAGAGGCCCCTTCCTGACGGACCACATTTCTTGTGCCCTGTTTTGTAGAACTCCTTTCTCGTGCGGGTCACACGTGAAAGAGGGTAGGTCGCGTTCACGTAGCGTAATATTCTTGCCCTGCTTATGAAGCACAGGCTGAGGTGCAGTTGTGAGCTGTGTGGAGAGAATGCAGGGCTGGGGGGCGGGAGCCCTGAGTTCCACTGGCCTTGACAAGTAGCTCACTCTGTCCCCTTTCTGGGTTTCAGTTTCCCCAAATGTAAATGAAAGGATTGCCTTTAAGCTGGTCCATGAGTCCTAAGGAGCCCCAGCCCACCTAGTGCCTTCAAGTGGCACTAGCGGATGTCCTCGCACCTGGGCAGCTCACAGTCTCAGGACAAAGCCCCACGGATATTTAGAAGGAGCAAGAGAACCCAGGCAAGTCCAGGGCCTTTGGAAACCTGGGAGTTGTTACTTGCTCCAGCAGACCCCTTCCATCATCAGGGACCCCTTCCATCCCAGGTGTGAGGACCCAGTGGAAGAAGAGAAGGAAAAGAGTATCCCTCCCCTACCACCTCACTGGAGACCCAGAGGAGGCTGCCTTGTGGGGCTTGAGAATTCAGTGGAGGGGAGGGAAGCAATGTTTATTGAGTATTTTTTTTTTTTTCTCAATAAATATTTTGCTTTATTTGCCATAGCTTCATTTAGGGAATGGTTCCTTATTCTGACTTGCATATGAATTCCAGCCCCATGGCTTCCACTGCTAACTGGGCAGGTCATGTTCCTCACCAAGATTTAATGAAAAAGACGATTCGCATCTGGCTGAGCCAGAGTCATGGTGCCCCATGTGTGCCTGAGTAGAACTGTGCTCCTCAGGACATTCAGGGCTGATTTTTAGAAGCAGATCACCAAGCCTTTCTTCAGAGGAGCCTCTGGGTGGACTCAAACCACCCACCTTTCAGTTAGTAGCCAAGCACGTTAACTATTTGCACTAGTCAGTGCCTAGTCTATAGGACCAAGACCAAACCGAACTCACTGCTGTCAAGTCGATTCCAACTCATAGTGACCTCTCCTTGGGTTTCCGAGGCAGTATCACTACGGAAGTAGATTGCCCAGTCTTCCTTCTGAGGAGTGGCTGGTGGGCTTGAACCCATAGCCTTCTGGTTAGCAGTCAAATGCCTTAGGCACTACACCACCAGAGCTCCTAGCCCTTAGGAAGTGCTCAGTAAACAACCATTGCCAGGCTACCTACTCCCAAACACCCTGCAGGGACTGTGGGTTCCCTTCCCCTAATACCAGCTCCTGAATGGACCAAAAAGATTTTGACTTTACAAAGCTTTCTCACCACTTTTTATTAGATTGAACTGGATGAAATTGCTTATATCTGACTATTTTTTATATAAAATATTGGCAGTGTAATATGGCTCAACCAAATACTTGTATAAAATTCATAAAGTATGTTTGAGGTCTGCAAATCCTAAAAGGAGTAAATAATAGTTCACCCCCTTTCTGGATTCCAAACACACAAAAAAAGCTTCAGAACCTTGCTGTAACCCAGCTTGACACTGATACAAGTTCTGCAGGGTATCAGCCTATCTCAAGCTGTGTTCGACTTGGAGGCTTAATGGAAGAACCAGCACCCACTGACCAACTTTCCCCAGTTGGGGACTGGTGGTGCAGAGAGGTTAATAAAGCATTGATTTTGGATTATGACACCTTTTAGCATTTCCAAAAGCACCTTCATTTATTCCATTATTTCATAGGTTCTCCTCGCAACACCTGTGAGGAGGAAAGTATACAGACTACTTCTGTTTTGTACATGGCTACAATGAGCCTGATTCTTGGGCAACTAGGCCATAGATTACAGATGCCACAGGCATGCAATGCTATGTAGCATGAGCATAGCGAGATACAATGGGTTCTTTGTGGAGCAGACAGTGGGTGGCTACTGAAGTGAAGGCTCTAGGCTATTCATTCATTTCCCTCTCTTTGTCTATCTTCCCCACTCTGATAAGACATTCAAATGATACTGGTGATTAAACACCTTAGTGAGTATCTCTGAGGCAAATTTTAGGAGAAATTTGCATGTTACCATTTCCTTTCTGGTGAGAGATAAAGTCCAGAGGCTGGGGTACAGGAGGAGGATCAGCTGGCTCCTACCGGCTCTTTGACAAAGTCAGCTTTTGAGAAAGTTCCTGTTGATGCTAAGTTACTCCACACTTAGTGTTGCACAGCCCACAACCACTTCCTCGTTTTCTAACCAGTGTCTCTGTGAGAGTTATCCATCCCTTTTTGGGTAAAGAGAAAAACTAAACCTTAGAGGAAATATTTGCTGAGAAGAAAGGGTTCTATTTCACTCAGAAAAGTATAACAATTACTATTGTTAACAACAATAACAATAACAAACCAATCCAATCGTTTCCATGGGATAGAAGCTCTGGTAGCATAGTGCCTAAGGCACTTGACTGCTATCCAGAAGTCTGGCAGTTCAATCTACTTCCATAGTGATACTGCCTTGGAAACCCAAGGAGGTGTCGTTATGAGTCAGGTTTGACTCAATGGCACATAACAATACAACACATACATCCCCCACCCCATCCAATGCACAATTCCATTTAATAATGACCTAGCCTGAGTTCTTCTCAATAAATTAATTGAGTGAAGAATCCCTAACTATTCTCATCAGAGTTTTACATAGTGATGCAGGACTGAAACCACTGGTGGCGGGATTCCTTATAAGTGAGCCTATCATAGAAACAGTCAAACTTTGGTTAGCTCCACTCATGTACTGGGAAAAGCCCAAGACTATGGGCCCAATGGCCCTATTCCCAAAGACTACCCCAAGTAGGACAATTTAACAAGGTGATTTGTTCCTTTATCTCAGTAAATTTAAAGTAATTCAAGTCAGATGGGATGACTTTGACAGTTTTTTGGGAAATTTTTGTTTGCCATTTTCATTTCATGATAGCACTTTTATGAATGCTAAGGGCAAGGAGTCAATGTTTAATATATTATCGTTGAATATATTCAGTAAATGTCAACAAAGCCATAATTAGATATACTTTTTAACATTATAGAACACCTCCTTCTCAGGAGTAAGGATATATTGATGGAAGAATAAATATTTCCTTCTTCTTATCATCAAGCCTTCTATCCTGGTTTTCCCTCTCTGTCCCGTCTCTTCCCTACCTTCTACCCCCTTCCTCCTTCCTCTCTTTCTTCCTCTATTCTCTATTCCCAAGGGTCCCTCAATGTCCTTCATTTCTACTCTCTGACACATAACTCTCCCTTCTCTTCTGCTCTGGTTTCTCCCTTCCATTTTGTCTTCCAGTCTCCCACCAGCTCCCTCTTTGCTCCCTCAATCCCCAGATCTCTGTCCCTTCTTCTCTATGCCCCTAAGTCTCCATAATCACAGCCCCCTCTCTCCCCTCCATGCCCCTTGGTCTCCCTGCTCTGCCTCTCATTCTTCCCTCTCTTTACCTCAGTATCTCCTTTGTCAGCCCTCTAACCTCTCTCTCTGCTCACAGCCTTTTTTTCCCTCCTTCCTCTGCCAGCTCTTCAGTACCCCTCTGTTCTGCCATCTGTCCAGCAGAGACCCTTCTCCCTGTCTCGGCAGCAGCAGTGATCTGGGATGGAGGCAGATGAAACTTTTCTTAAATTCTGATATAAAGACTAAATGAAAACTAATCAACTAAAACTTTTCTGAAGTTTTCAACTACAATAAGTAGTTGAAAGCAGCAGTTGAAATCAGTAAACCAAACTTCCAGTGAATCGAGGATGGTGAATTGGCCTGTTACCTCATTCCATCCCTCTCTCCAGCATCACCCCCATCTTCACTCCCAGGAACTCAGCCTCTCTACTCCCAGGCAAATGCCCTACCCAGGGATTTGTTTTCATGGTTCCCTACATCTCAAACGTCCTGCTTCACACCAGGGAAACCTTACCAACTCCCAAGAGCTGCCTCAGATACCAGTCCTTCATGAAGGTTGTCCATCTCCTTCCCTTTCATTCCACGATACCCTCTCCTACTATAGTCTTCTGGGCCAGCCCTGGACATTTCTTCTCTGTCACTGGCAGTCAGACAGGCATGGGTTCTAATCACAGCACCACCACTGATTCACTGGCACTGTAGCTACTTTACCTCACTAAGCCTCAGATGACCCTGTACAATGGGGTCATTATCTACTCAGACTATTTGCTTAGAACCTGCATATAGTGTGCCCAGTGCAGAATGGTCATGAGAGTTCAGCAAGTCATAACAAATAGAAAGAGAAGAGGAGGCTAGCAGACTTGGCATGTGAAGAGGATGGAGCTTGTCTCACCATATAGTTCTATGGACCTTCCTAAGACTGTATTTTGCTATTTGGCCCATATGACCTTGATGTCGCCCTTGAAGCTTTTCCCCATTCTCTGTGACTTTCCCCAGAGTTATTCCCTTGGATGCAACAGCTACAGCCAAGAGACTTTGTCCCAAAGACATCCTGATTGGGGTCTGGCCTGAGTTTCCCCCAGACCTGGAGCCAGAACCAGCAAAGCCCCTGGACTGACCAAGATGAGGCCAGACTGGTAGACTTTCCCATCCCCCATGGAAGGCACTGTCAGTTGGTATACCAAGTCTCTGTATGTCTGTCTAGTGAGTTCATCTCAGCTGAGACTTAGAACTTCTGCCAGTTCCTACAGGGGTGTAGGTGTTAAGGAGGCAAGCACATCTGGAGGGCCTGTTCCTCTGTGACTTCACAAAAGGTGTGCCAAAGGGTGCCCTGATGTCCTCTCCTTCAAAGAAGCTGCTCCTGTCTCCTCCTGGGGGTCGCCAGCCCCAGCTGGACATCTAGCTTTCCATCTGAGAATCATCCCAGCCCTGTAGAGCTTCCTTTAGTCCTGTCCCATTCATTTTTTTTTTTTTTTTTTATTCCAGATGCCTCTCTATCCCCTGGGAGAGTCTGCCTCAGATACTCATGACACCTGAGACTTTAGAATGGGCTCCCCCACACACTTGCCCAGTTTTCCTGACATCAGCACACCTTTCCACCACTCTGAGCCAGAGGAAAGATAGCTACGCTAGAGCCCAATCCCAGGCCTCTAGGCACTGACTTCCCTTTGTTCGACCTGTGCCTCCAATACTGAAAATGCCTCCAATTCTCTCTCTGTTGAGCCCAATTTCTGTGTTGTCCTCCTGTTTCTGGTTATTCGATCTGGTGTATAGAGCCAGGACAAGACATGAGCATGAGCCCATGATAGCTCCCAGCTGGGCTGCTTCCCTGGGAACCCTGCTGAATAGAGGAGAGAGGTGGGGGTCCTGGTATGCAGAGCCAGCCAGTGATCTATGCATTTGAGAAAGGGGCCTGGTGAAGTTCTAATGTTCACAATACCCACCCAGGCACTACCTCACTCATATTTCTCAATGGTCCCCCAGGTCAGGTGTTATCTCCTTAGTAGAGGAAGAAGAAGAGCCTAGGAGCCACGCAGTTTACTGAGGCCACACAGCCAGCCCTTCTAGAGCTGAAATGTGCATTTAGAGCCCTCATGTGCCTGACCAAGCTGTCCCCCTCCTCTTCTCTCTGCCCCACTTAGGTGGGATCTCTATCTTGGCCCTGTGGAGTGCTAAGGCCTCTGTAGATCCAAGTATCAGGGCCCGGACAGTTCTGAGTCATCTGGTCCCCACTCAGCCTCTACAGATGGACCTTGACTGCCTGTATAAGCACTGCTGAACCACTTATCCCCTCAGAATCTACCTGCCCTGTCCTGGGCTCCAATGACACCTCAGCCCATGGGTCTTCCTTCTTCCCCTACCCATAAGAGATCTTTCCTGCCCTGTCTCATCTCTTCCCCTATGGGGACTACATTGAGTTCCCCTGCTACCACTGGATCACAGGCGAGGGTGAGATCATCCTTCGAGATGGCTGAGGTGAGAACATGGGGCCCTTCCATCCTCTGGGCTTCCCAGGAAACTAAAAGTCTTTATAGCTTTCTTTTCTCAAAAAACCATTATTCATGGAATTAATAACAAAGTGCTCCAACACTTGATGCAATGGACCTGCAGAGGAGATGTGGCTTTCCTCAGTGTGGAGATGTGGTCTACCTCAGTGTATTAGTAGACCCCTCTGGCCATTGGCCTCCCTCTCTAGCTCCTCATTGGAGCTCCTCTGTTCAACACCCTTGTTCTCTGCAACTCTGCAGTCCAACCCAGACCTGCTAGCATCTTCTTGGGGTTACCACAGGTAAACCTGACCTTGGCCCCCCACCCAGGATCCAGGGCTCAGTGCTGTCCATGTAGCCCCATTATAGCCCCCATTCTTCTTGCTGGACACACTGAGGCAGGGGACCTCTTTCCCTGAGGCAGCCAGGAGAGACAGAATATGTGCAGGGCAGAGCATGTGAGGTGAGAAGATTTACATGTGCATGTGATAAGAGCTGGAAAGGTGCCATCCCAGTCTGAGGTCTGGCTTACTTTCCTCAGAAACTGCCCTGAGTCAAGGGCATGGCCAAGATCACAGGGCCCAAGGAGGAAGCATCCAGTTTCTGACCACAAGTGTCTGGCTACAGCACGCAAGTTGCTTGTTGTGTTCAGACCCAAGGGTTTGCTGAAAATATCCAATTTCCTCTCCAGAAGCCTTCCCAGGGGGCTCCTGGCTGCCCAGAGGAGAAATAGGGTAAAAATGGGGAAGGAATGTGAGGGACCATGTGCAAGAAGGTACCCCTGTCCTGTCCCATTTACTTCAAGTTCAGAACTCTGGGTTCTGCTTCCAAAGAAAAAGTTCAAGGATTGGTAAAATACAGTTTAGAAGGGGCACTGGAGGTCACCAAGGGCAGGGCTTTCCACACCTGCTGGTCAATGAATTTTCCAACATGATACTTAAGCCCCTCATCCTTCCTATCTGCCATTGAGAGCTTCACAGATGCAGATGGTCTAGAACCTACATGGATCACCCAGAGGTGCTGTGCTGCCCATCTCCCAGAGACAGGAGCAGCTCAGTTCCAGGGGTCTGGGAGACAGTGCCAAACATGAGCCTAGGATGGAACCTTCTAGCAACATGGCCAGCCTTCACCCACCACCAGAGCCACAAATGCAGTGGGAGCCACTGGGTCTGATTGTTCATGGCATTACTGTGCTGGTTCAGGGAATGGAAAATGCTCCAGAAAGGCTTAAATTCAAAGGGCTTGAATCTGTGTTACTCCATTTTCAGTTAGTTACTGCCCTACTGAGGACTACAGAGAGATTATGTGGCTATAGTGGACAGCCTGGGTGTGAGTTTCAGTTCACTTAGCAGCTGGAATGTGACTTACTAAGCCTCAGTACCTTCATCTGTAAAAATGGATCATTACTCCATCCCCCCTCCTAAAGGTGTGGTGGAGACCATAGTAATTGTCAGTGGACCCTTAGAAAGGGCTGGCCAGAGGTGACAGCCAGTTTGTCCCTACAGCCCAACAGGAGAGAAAGGCCAGCAGCTTCTGCTGTCATCTCTGTGAGGGTGGGCAACTGAAGAGGACCCTCACCAAGCAGGGCCTCAAAGTTGCAGCAGGGATAGACACTTGCCCAGGAGTGTCCACTCCTCTAACCTGAGCCACATGTAGATAGCAGAGAGTTCCTTACTAGATTTTTCATGTCTGAGAGGCAAGGACCAGCACATGCCCATTTCATTACCCAGGGCCTGGCACAGGGCCTTGTCAATAGCAAGAATCCAGTGAATGTCTTGGCTAAATGAACGAGGGATGATACGAGGACTCAGAGGACCCCACACCATTGTAATATGCCTTTTTCTGCTCTACAGGTTGATTCTTATGATGTGACAGTGGATGAAGAGCTGGGTGAGATCCAGCTTGTCAAAATCGAGAAGCGCAAGTACTGGCTCCATGATGACTGGTACCTGAAGTACATCACGCTGAAGACACCCTGTGGGGACTACATTGAGTTCCCCTGCTACCGCTGGATCACAGGCGAGGGTGAGATCATCCTTCGAGATGGCCGAGGTGAGAACACGGGGCCCCTTCCATTCCCTGGGTTTCCCAGGAACCTAAAAGTCTTTATAGCTTTTCTTTCTCAAAAAACTATTATTCATGGAATTAATAACAAAGTGCTCCAACACTGTGATGCAGTGGACCTGCAGAGGAGATGTGGCTTTCCTCAGTGTGGAGATGTGGTCTACCTCAGTGTATTAGTAGGCCCCTGGCCTGGAAGTTGAGTGAGTGGCCTCCAGTCTCTATGCTGCAATCTTGTAGGGGAGGGAGCATGACCTCCTTTTTGTCAGAGGTAACTGGGGTCTCTAGTAGCAATTATCCATGGAACATATATGCAGACAGTGAGTTTTACCATTGCCAATGTTGTGCATCACTCTGTCATTGAAACAGCCTTTTCCTGATTCACAGACACCCAGGTCCAGGTCCAAACTGTCTACTGTGAAGTAACAGTAGGGTTTAGACTTCAATGCACTTCCCTCAGACCTAGGAAGTAAAGGGATTGACTAGGAGTGTCTGAGTGCCAGCTTAAAAGGGCCACAAGGTAGACACAAGTGTCCCTATCACCACTTAAACTCTATTGTTAAACTCTATTTCCCATTTATTGTTGAAAGTTCAAAGATCCTAATATCTGCCCTCATACACATGATCCCCAAAAGTGCAGACTCTAATCTGATACTTCCTCAGGAGGTCATTCTTCATAAAGAGACCCACAGCTCTCCTGGTAAGAAGTATCAGAGAGAGATGCAGACGTCAAAAGTCAGCTAAGGCCTCTCTCTCACTGAAGGACTGCACAAGAAAATCTACCTTTGGCATGAGTGAGTCAAGTCCATGCCTTGGCAAAATGATACCATACTTCAAATCACAACCCTTCAGTTTGCTCACAGCCTAGACCTGAAATGATAAATGTGAAAGATGATGTTTTTACATGCCAGGTTCAGACTCATAGGGACCCTATGTACAAAAAAATGAAACACTTCCTGGTCCTGAGCCTGTGTCACCCTCACAATCATCGCTGGCTTAGCCCATTGTTGTAGCCACTGTGTCAATCCATCTTGTTGAGAGTCTTCTTCTTTTTCATTAATCCTTTACTTTACCAAGCATGATGTCCTTCTCCAGGGACTGTTCCCTACTGATAACATGTCCAAAATATGTGAGACAAAGTCAAAAAATACTTAAAGATGAAATTCAAGGCACATGAGTGAAGGTCATAGACCTATTCTGCTTTCCAGTAGTTAGACAACACTAGCTTCATATCTCCTTCTTGCCCTCCTCCCATAACTAGACTCAGACTCTTGCAGCTCTTCAGAGTGAAAAGCACATGGCACACTCATATTAGGATAATTTAATGAGGGTAAAGAAAGGGACTATTTATAAAAGTGTAGGGCAAAATTCTAGTAAGATGGTGGAATTGGCAGAAAGACTACACAGACACTCTTCAACAAAGAAAAGGGGAACCAATTAACATAGATATAGAAGATAATCCTGGAGCACTGAGCTTTGAAGGGAAGGATATAAAAGTGGACTAAACTCCAACTAGCAGAAGAATTTGCATGAAAACTCCAAAAAAGGAGACATACAGAGCTGCAGTCTGGCAGTGATCCTGACTGCACAGACAGCTTGGATATTGCCAAGTGGTTTTAGGACCTAAGAATCAACCTAGAAATCAATCCTGCTAGCCAGGGACTGCATGGAGGACTGCTCTGATGGCTGGTGAATTAAAGGGGAAGCAGCGAAGAGGGAGACGTGCTAATGTGTGGACTTTTGCCTGTCCAGAGGATGCAGCAATTTTGAATGTTTACAAGTGGTTCGACCATTTTGGATATTTAAAGGGCCAGCATTCTCCCAGATTCCAGGGACTTAAGAATAGGCTCCACTTGCTAGGAACTATAAGGAAATTCCAGCTCTCAATGACTGGAAAGGTGCAATATTCCCCTTGTTACTCTTATACCCTACACCCTCTTGGTGAATGGAGGTGCAGCCATCCCTCACTCCCACCCACCTTCTGGGCCGGCAGGAATTTCATCCCAGTCTGTGTGTTCAGACAGAGCCTGGGTGCCCTGCCCCACCCTGCCCAGATATTTTTTTTTTCTAAGTTTGTTTGATTTTGTCTGTTTTAAAATTATTATTGTATTATTATTATTATTATTTATTCTTCCCTTCCCAGATTTTAGTTTTCAGCTTTTTCTCTCTTCCCTGTTCTTAGTTCCAATTTTTCTTTCTTGTGGGTAACCCCATTTCTTCTTTTTCTTTTTGCATTTTTCCCATTTTTTCTTCATTATTCTCCTACTCTACTTTTTTTCTTTTATTGCCTCTCCCCAGATATTGTGGATTTGTTTTTCCCTTTTTTTGGTTATTATTCCTATATGATTACATGGTGTGTTTTTGTCCACTTGCTTTTACTTTTTTGATGGTTATTCAATTGTTATTTTTGTCTGAGTGGGAGACAGCACAGTGCTCATACAACACATGTCCTGCAGCTTCACTTACTGAGTGAGAGCCACCACTTCCTTCTTCACCAACTGGTCAACAATAAACAACCACCAAGAAGACCCTGACTCACCTGTAGCTGCTCTTCACAAACAGTTAACAGAGATCTAAATACAACAACATCACAATGTTTTGGAGACAACAGACCATCACAGTCCACACAAAGAAACAAGATAAAGTAGTAGAAACAAGGGAGCAGGACACAGACCCAGAACACAACCCTGAGGAAGAAGCAGCATTGGAACTCCCTGATAAGGAATTCAAGAGAATTATATTTAGGTATCTCCAAAGGATTGAGAGACACAGTCAAAGAAAACAATGACAAAATCAAGGAAAACACAGACAAAACCCTACAACAGTTTCAGAAGAAAATACCAGAACAAAATGACAAAATAAAGGAAAAATTAGAAATGATTCAAAATACACAGATAGAAATCCAGAAGATTAATACTAAATTTTCACAAATAGATAACACATTGAAAGGGCAAAGGAGTAGAATTGATGCAATGGACAGAATTAATGAGGCTGAAGGCAAATACTTGAATATGTCTTTGGAAAGGGATCAGTCAGAAAAAAGATCAAAGCAAAATGAAAAAAACTAGGGTTCATGTGGGATACCATCAAAAGAAATAACCTACATGTAACTGGAATTCCAGAACAGGAAAAGAAAAATAAAACCACTGAGAAAATTGTCCAAGATTTGTTGGAAGAGAATTTCCCTGACATGATGAAAGATGAGACTATATCCACTCAGGAATTCCAACGAACCCAAACAGGATAGACCCCAAAAGAAAATCACCAAGACATATCATCATCAAACTCATCAAAAACAAAGACAAAAATATAATCCTGAAAATAGCACAGGAAAAACAAAAGGTTACTTACAAAGGACAACCAGTAAGAATAAGTTTTAATTTCTCAGCAGAAACCATGGAAGCAAGAAGGCAATGGGATGGTATATATAAAACCCTGAAAGAGATAAGTTTTCAACCAAGAATAATTGAGAGCAAAATTGTCCCTCAAATATGATGGTGAAATTAGGAGATTTCCAGATAAGCAGAAACTATGGGAATTAGTTTAAACCAGACCAACCTTATAAGATATATTAAGGGAGTCCTTTG